GACAATTTAAACTTGTCCCCTGCTGACCTTGTCAATGTATTTCTGATTTCTCTAGCAGTGAAAAGCAGTTGCATGTGTAAGTAATAGATTTTTTTTTTTTCCCCCCCTCCAATTAGTCATTTCATTTTGTCAATCAACTGCAATCCACATTGCAGGCTGTGAAATGGAGGTAGGTAGGTGCAGTTATAAAGCACAGAATCTTTACAGCAGAGGCTTCAATAGATGCTTTCTCCAAAGTAACCAAAGAGTATTTCCTGAGAGTGACCACAGTACCACAGTCTTTGTCACTTCTCTTTGCGTGTGGGAGGTGTTTCTCTGAGCAATGCTCACCCTGCAAAGCTGGGCTCTGTTCCTGGCTGCCGCCACCGATGTGCTGTATGACTCTGACTGAGTCAGTCTGCTCATATGTGCTGCACGCTCCCTAACTTAAATCTAAAAGAATCATTTTCACCCATCTTTGTAAACTGATCATTTGCTTTCATAACAAAATGGATGTTACTTGCTCTTTCAGGAATTTTGAGCATTAAGCCTTAATATCCCAATGATCTGATTTGTTTATATATCCATACAGGCTTTTTATCTTCTGTGTTTGTCTGTAAAGCTGAATTTCTTTGGAAAAACTTGAATGAGAAGCACTCCTGCCTCTTGGAATCACACTAAGTTAGACCTGCTTTCTCTAGAATAGCAGATAAATTTGCTGCGACTATATTCAGCTCCTAGTATTATTTAATATTCTTGAACCTCTGTTTAAAAAAAAAAAAAAAGCCCTTCCAAAGATATTTTTCTCTTTAATTTTATTGCAAGATTAAAATCAAACCTTGAAAATTAACACAATTAAATGCAGTTATATATTCCTTTTTGTAATTGTATTCTATATACTGTTTAGAACTTTTTGTTATACAAAAGTCAAGATAAGATTTGAGTTATTTTACTTATTTGGGTATTTCTCTAGCTATAGGATTAAGGAAGAAAAATTACAAGAATATGAGTAAAAGACAATTATCCTCAAAAAATCTTAACAGGTTTGGGTAAATGGAAACATAGGGTAAGACATCTTCTTCAAGCTCAGGTATGACAGTTAATCAGGAAATTCTTCAGGCACTAACAAAAAAAAAAGTATAAGTCTTCTGAAACATGTTATATTGTCACTGTTCAAATCTTTTTTTAGATAGCCACTACAAAGCAGGCCCTTCACTGTAAACAGATTGGAACTGAATGTACTTCCTTTGCCTTCTGTTGGCATTTAAGGGAAGGTGTTACCTTTCACATTATTCTATTAAATTTGGACTGGAGCTGAAAAAAGGGTTGATGTAAGACTTCTTAATAAAATAAAGAGCATCTAGTATTTCAAAATTTCAGTTGTCCCCCTGTGTATTCATTTGTTCTTGTTTCTCTTTTCTAGGAGCTTGAGTTGCCAAAGGATCACCCTGCATAAAAATTTATTTTTCTCTTTTGTTTGCAACTCTCTTGTAACAATAATTTCATTGACTGCAGTTGCCAACAATCAGGAGTTAGTTGCAACTAATCCAGTAAGTGAAAGTATATTTGGCAGCCTTGTTGATTCGTATGTGAGAAACTTCAGCAAAGCAGGAAAGCTAAATGAGACATGAATACTTGATGAAATGTTGTATATAGCAACGTTAAAATGTTCAGTAACGATGTATCCATGTTACATATTACAACAGATGTCTACCAATGACTTGGGCATTTCACATTAGAGGTTTCATAATAGTAAAAACACTCTAAGAGACAGAGCATACTGAACTGCTCTTCTGAATTTGTACAAATCACTTTTGCACTGAAACTGCCAGAAAGTAGCTTATTCTAGATGATGTCAGTGAAGTTATGACAGTTGAATTCACGAAGGAAGGGCAGTAAAAAAATCTTTGGAGTGTATTTTGGATGTCAGCTACTTTCCTGTGGCTTTAAGTTTGCCATCTTCAGTTGAAATGAGAAGAATTTTTTTTTTTTTTTTTTTTTTTTTTTTGTGAAGGGAGATGAAGCTGACCCTTACATGCCAAAAGTAAAAAGCTAAATAAAAAAGCTGTTCATTCAGGTCTGATTTTTCTCTCTCTCATTTCCTAATAATACCAGGGTAAGTGTGAATCAGTAGCCCCTCGCAAAAGGCTAGGAGTTATAGCAACGGAAGAGCCTGAAAATTGAATACATAAACAAACAAATCCCTAACTATGGCTTTATTTTTATTTAGACCTGGAAGATAAATTTAAATTCTGTGAAATTTAGGGCAAAACTCCAGAAGCTGAATCAAGTAAAAAGATAAATTCTCTTTCTCCTGTAAAAGCTCATCAAAATGCTGGCAAATAAGCTTGAGATAGCTGCTAATAATCATCATCAAGTGAGTTAGGTAGCAGAACATGGTAAAACAATATTGATTTTTGGTTTGTTTTAAGCTAAGTCACAGAAATAGATCAAACACACAGCAATTTCAGAAGGAGGCAAAAAAGGATCTACTGTGTCCGAATCTGCAAGTTACCTATTGTTCCTTTTCTACCACCTCACATTTCAGTCTACACAATAAGTTATAACATTTCAATTGAAGAATATCTTTTGCATGAAGCTGAATACAAATATATGCCAACAAGAGAGCTTCCTTCTAGAACCTACTGTGCACGTTCTCAACTGGCCCTAAGTGCAGTCATGGGGTTAAAGTTGGAAGTAGTGTAAGCATTTTAAAAACATGAATTGTTCTCTGGAGTAGTTATATGTTGTGACTGGTAAAACCGAGAGGGAATTACCCTCACCAAAGTACAGTTTCTTGTGCAGTTACCATCAGATAATTTAAGGATTCCCTGTTGATTGGAATTGTCAAATGTGGCAATGTTTGCAGTAAGGGAAAATATCATTACAGCTTTCTGCCATCAGCTTTCTGCCATCATGCTTGAGGATCTCGAGGTCCTCATGTTTGCATAATAAAAATGCAGACTCAGTTACCACTTTTTTTGTCATCATAAAGTATGGAATTGTAATTCTACAAAAATTCTATTAAAAATATGTAATGGTAGTGAAAAGCAGAATAAGCATTAAGATTTGACTTGAGCAGTTTTTTTTCCATTTTGCAAATAAAGCTGTGAGATTTTAGCAATGTAAAAAACTATGTTGTACTCTGCTTTTTTCTACAGGTTAGTTGCAAAGTATCACAGTTCATCTACCTGTACCTAATGGGTTGCAACTACTTTTGGATGCTGTGTGAAGGCATTTACCTGCACACTCTCATTGTGGTGGCTGTTTTTGCTGAGAAACAACACTTGATGTGGTATTACCTTCTTGGCTGGGGTATGTAATTTCACGTTCTGTATTTAGTGGTGGACTTGGTAATGTCAGGTTAATGGTTGGACTGGATGATCTTAAAGGTCTTTTCCAACCTAAACGATTGTATGATTCTGTGATTTTCAGGCCAATGCAATCTCTTACTCTTTTTCATGAGAATTTGAACATCTGTCCCTTTGCTTCCCTGAGCTGGTAGCTTTGAACCACGATGACACACCGCTCCTCTTTGTCTGTAGTGTTTTAACAGGCTCAGAAATGTTAACGTAGGAAGTTGTATGTACCTCTATCTTTGCTGAAAGTGAGATTATGCATTTCTGCAGTCAGGAAGCGACTCCTCCTTTGTATAGAGAAAATAGTCTATTATAAAAAAGACATTAAGAAGTAATTATTCATTGTTCCTCATCTCGAAGATGTTTATTCAGGAATGAATGTTTGTTTTCAGAGAAGTCTCGCCATGTCTAGGGTGGAGGGTCAGAACTGACTTACAAATGGCCAAGGATTTATTTTTCCAGCAGTTCCATTTGACCTGTATTGTTCACTAAGCAAATACAGAATAGCTGTAGCTGAAGGTCTCAAGTCATATCAGTATCAAAACTAACAAGCCAAACCTCGTCATTTCAGATAACGCACAACAGCATGTTCACAAAGTGCAAGTGAAGGCTTTCTCCTCAGCTTCAGTGTATTGGCACATTTGGCTATAACATGACTTGGTACCTGGGTCGCCAGCTGTCCCACTACAGACACAACTGAGATGTAGTCAAAAGATCATAGGTGCTCAGCAGTTACTGAAAATTAGGTACCACCCAGGGTGTCAAGGACCCCAGATAACTAATTTGTTTATTCTTTTTAAATTTTGAATTTGGCCTGATTTCCAGAGTCTTTTTTCAAAATTTTTTTGAAGGTGACCCTGTTCTCTGAATACCCAGCAAGGATCAGTGAGGCCATAATCAACATTGATAATCATACCGTTAAAGCTATGGTTGTATATACAATTACAGTTTTAATATTATTTACCTATTTAGCTTTATTGCAGATTGCAGTCTGAAAAACATCTGTGTCAATGAAAATTGATTGTTGCATTCTAAGAAGTTATGATTTGATTTGCCTTTTCTTTCTGTGTGTTAGTATGGATTTCCTGGTAAAACAAGGGGAATAAGTTTCATACACTCCTCTGAAAGAAATCTGAGAAAATAGAAATGGAATTAGCCCCTGTAACGTAGTTTGGATAAGGTGAAAATAGAGAAGATTCCTGCAAGAGATGCAAGTTTACTGAGTTATTAGTCGGGCTTATATATGAAGAAAACATTGTTTTTTCTTCACAGGATTTCCACTGATCCCTGCCTGCATACATGCTGTTGCTAGAAGTTTGTATTATAATGACAAGTAAGTAGCATCTCAACTTGCTGTGCAAAAGTCTTATATTTTCTTTAAGGTGAAATAAAGGAATACAACAGTTGATTAAACGCTAAATGTTTTTTTTCTTTCCCTGTTTTGTTTCTCTAGTTGTTGGATCAGCTCTGATACTCATCTGCTGTACATCATCCATGGCCCTATTTGTGCTGCTCTGTTGGTAGGCAGTTTTCAGATAATAATATGCTTTTCTTACTTGTTTTCTGGCTGTTCTTCATGGGCTTATAAAGTTGGTAAGAGCCTAAAGCTAAGATTTAGAGGTCACTGTCATTCACAGGACTCTCACTTAACCCAATAGGTGCCTTAGACATACTGGATACACAAGTCTCTGCCTTACTAAGGAGCTGTACCCTGATCTTCTGAGAAGCTCAGGTTTTGCAATGTTGATTATCATTCCACTTAAATGCTAGTGACAAGGAAGAGCTAAACATTACCTGGAGTACTGGAGGGCCAAATCCTTCCTTTAGCTGGGAATGCTTTCTCACTGCCCAGGCCATTTGCTAGGTTGACCCTACTACAAGCATCATTGTGTCCCTGTGCTAAAGTGGCCAAATAGCTACCAGACTGCACCTCACTGAGGTTCAGAAAGAGGGCTCTCAAATGTTGGGACTGACTGTGGGTGGGAATACGGGATGGAGAGAAACTAGAGCAGGCCCTTGGGAAAGAACCAGTGAAAATAGTTCTGCAAGTGTCTGTGACTGCCCCTGTATTGCTAGATGCTCATCTAGCAATGTGTGCTTTGGCCACTGGGGTGTTGCAACTGCTCTGCTTCATTAGTCCTCATGAACTCTTAGAGCGCAGTGTTCTGTCTTACACTGCAAGTTAATGCCAGCTCTATTACACGAATGTTTGCTACTGAAGGCATTAAATTCTAGGTAAGTAACTGAAGATTCCTCTGTATAAAAATCAGTGTTGTGCTTCAATTACTCTAGGACTGAGTTTAACCTATGAAATTCAGTCAATAGTTTATTGCTAAATAGAAAGAGGTGCATAATAAAACAAAATACTACTATGTACCTACTTGCACAACTATCTGCATAATTAATATCTATGATTGCATGATGCAGAGAATGCTGCAGAGTAGAGGCATTCTAAATGTGGCTGGAATTAGCTGCTGACTATATATCACAGTCATCTCATTGTAACAAACTTCAAACTGGTCTGGCAAAGGTATTGGATACGTGTCTACTGGCTTTTCTTATGGTTTTTTGGTTCATGCAAGGAAATTCGTTAAGAATGAAAACATTAAATAATTTTTTGGAAATAATTTCAGTTTCTGACCTACATGAACTTCCTCTTCCGGTAAATTGTTGATGAGTATTTGCAGAGAGCATTCTATGCGTAGAGAATTCTCTCTGAAGACCGTTGCATACATCCTGTGGTTCTTGTAACTCCCATTTTCGTTCACAGTGAAATTAGATGGTGAACCTGTATTTTGCAGACTGTGTTGATACCATGACACACCTGAGGCCCTCTGCGTGGGAAGCCAGAAGCAGTCCCCATGACATTATTAAGATCCATGGCCCCTGGAGTGTGAACTATTACTGATAATCCCTTGTTCTGTTAGTCAGGTCTGCCATATATGTTCATGTTAAGACACTTCAACTAGTGCTCTAATCTCTAAAGTTAAAACCAACTCTAAATCCTTTCAACTTTTCTTCTCTCTAATTTACACAGAAGGTGAAATCCTGTTTTCACAGAAAAGGATAGGGTTTTTTTTTGCCCACTTAGCGGTGCTGTATTTCACCCAGAAGATATATGCTGTTCTGCATTGCCTTGTGGGTTGTTACTTCCTTTGTCCAGGTGTCTCCTCACAGATATATCACTTAAGTAAAGCTCTTCAAAGCTGAAATATAATTTGTATTAGTCAGAGCTTGCTTAAAGAACAACAGAAAAAATTGTGTAAAAGTTATGAGACTATACCATCTTCCATGAAGTGACCTCATTTTAGGATGTAAGATCATTTTCTCCTTCCTGGCACTGGCCTCCACAAAGTCACACTGAAAACAGTGGCAAGACTCCTATGGGTTTCAAATGTACTGGATCAGTCCCAAACTGTCAAGACTTCTTTTCATTCAAGGCAACACTAAGAATGCCCTTTGATTTTACTGGAGCCATAATAATCGCCTCTGTGGGGTTGGTTTAGGCAGAATCTGTCCGTTCTCTTTGCAATTTACAAATACGTATACCTTTGATGTTCCTATATTTTTCATTAGCTGACTGAACATGTTTCTCTTGCATTTTTTCTTGCCTCAGTACAATCAATAAATTTATTTGGAAACCATGTAGGAATAACAAAGGTTAAAGACAACTGCACATCTTGCCTGTCATGTGAAAGTACATTAAAGGAGTTGCTTTCCTTTCTGGTAACAAAAAAATGTAGTATGTCAATTCAGAAAAGACAAGCCAGGGATAAAGACATTAAATGAAATGCATGTGTTTAGGCTTTGTGAACAGTACCCTCATTTGCTTAAGCAGCTTGCTTGCCAGATAAAATTTTCACACTTTACTAAGCATGACCTGCTTTAGTAGACATTTAAGCAACAATATTAAGCTCCAAATTAGCTAACAAGGGAGAAGACACTGTTTCTACTTGCAGGAGCAAGATCTCAAAGAACATGAAGAGGACTGTCAAGTGGGTGCCAGGGAGAGTTGGCAGAAGCCAGTGGGAATTTAACTCTTGTATATCACTGAAAATCCTACAATTACATAAAGTTAACAATAATGCTGCTTTTACAGTCCCTGTTTTACATAACTGTGGTCAGATCCCTGCCAAAGAAACTGGAAATGGGAGCAGACATAGGTTGCATTTTGATTGGAATTTTCTTCAGTTGACCATTTAATTATAACTGTTTGCCTAAGTAACCACAATTAAAGTAATAGTGTGGGAATGAAACAGCAGAGGGTGATGTTAGGTTTTACACTAGACAAATATTGATCGAAGTGGGGGTGGTGGTGGTGAAAAAGCAATGGGTCTGAACTTTAGCAAAAGCAGTAGTGTTTTCAGTGTAGGTTTCAGATGTGCCAGTGCACTGGTGATTTAGTTTGCATTGGTGCCACTGAAAGAGTAGATTTTGATTTAGTCATGCCATTATTTATACAACTAATACTATGGAGGTGTTTATTTTGCCCTATAATGATGTTAAGTATTGGTGTCTTAGACTGATAGCCCTTTTATAGATGCAAATTCTTTTAGCAGAAGTGTACTCAGTGAACATGTACTACAAGGAAATTCAGGAGCTCTTAGCTTTGTCATTGACCTATTTAATGACTTTAAGCTGGACTTAGTACAAGACCTAGGATTTTAGAAGTTGAACGCTTAGCATACATATACCCAGCCTTGGAAACGTCCACAGGCCAGGTGTAAAACTTGTCTTCATGAGCACATACAGGTGTTCTGCCCCAAGCAAGCCAGGCTCAAGCAGGCTAAGATCTGAAGGTGCATAACTGTATTAAAAACCAAACAATGGCTACCAGCCAATATCTAAGAATATCTGAGTTTCTTGGGCTGAGAATGGTTTGTTTATATCCTCCTAAGGAGGAACCTAAACAGAATTTAAACCTACATACTAATAAGGATTACCATACTGCTTAGCACAAACTCAACATGAAGAGAAGTAGAGATATCAGGGACCTGAGGAGAGTTTAATTCAAGAACTGCAGCACCTGTTAGCAGTCAACTGTTAGCAGCTAAGTTCACAGCCACTCTTGAGGCAGAACCTAAATTCTACTAAGTTCCCAGTAGAGTCACCAACATTTCTTTTTATATAGGATTGCCTTCTCTGCCTTTGTTTCCACTTCTGTCCATTTTCCCGGTTCAATTTTCAGGTCACTGTGGAGCTGCCAGTATTTTACAGTTCATACTGCAGCTAGCACAGCAGGATTCCTTTGGGGCTTTCCAAACCATCACAGTCAATTTGATGATAATACATATGCAAGTAGTTCCACTGGCCTACTTTTGCTTAAATGTAAAAATCTACTCACTACCTTGCTAAAATCAAGACCTGTTTTCATCACTTTTAATTAAGAATTCAGTTCATCCTGATCTCACTATATTTTGTGACAGAAGAGATATACAGCACCAATTTTTGACGAATACTTTTACTGACACTCATATGGTTCTTCTCAACTCTGCCCTCTGCTTTGCCTCATTCATCTTTTCTGTTTGCCCTAATAGCTATTTGCAAACTCTTTGCATGTTTATTTTTGTGCTTTTTGGTTTTGGTGGGGAAGTGGAACAATTAGAAAAATTCTGTGCATTTCAGCATGTTGTAAGTGAAATAGTTTGCTGGGTGGTATTTTGCTTCTGGCTGCTGCAACTTGCATCTTCAGTTAGCGTTCAAGGACAGTATTATAGAAATTGGCCATGCTACCAAAACACGAGAGGGCTGAAACTCAGTGTTTGAGACACGTTGATGTTGAACTAGAAGATTTGAGGATTAAATTTAGAAATGGAGGAAGGACTTATTGTCTAGGTGTACTATAGGAAGTTGGATGAGGATCGTGGGCTGCATAAAATCTAAATAAATCCCTTGAGAAAGAATCAGAAGACCTTGGTTGCTTAAACAAAGCTTTAAAGGTAGCTGGAGACTTCCAGGAGAAATTAATGCAGTAGTTTCCTATGTAAAACAATTTCCTGTTAAAATGATTTAAATAGCATGTAAGTAGAATAAAAATACTATCACATATCTGTCAAGGGCCATGTTGCTATAACAATACACAGCTGTTTATCATGAAAACCTTAACTGACATGAAAGAATTCTGCCAGGGTTGTGGAGGACATGTGACACACATGGTCTGAAATGGATTCCCTCTTTGCACTTGTCCTACAGCAAGACAGAGGCCGCCTCCTATAGACCAGGAGTTCCTAGCCTTTTTAGAAGGGGGTTTTCTGTCTGTCTACTGGCTTCTTCCCCCACCCCCCCTTTTGTCTCTAGATAGTTGTTGACAAGGACAGAGAGTTATCTGGGAGAAGAGGTAAGAGGACCGGACTCTAGGTCTCTCCCTTCTATAGTGGGTCCCCTCAGCAGCATTGTCTTGCCTCTGTGCCCTTGAGCAAGGTGGTGGGCCTGGCCGAGCTTTCAAGGCCTCTTCTAGCTGTGGTTTCTAGAATGGGCTGTCATTATTGCACAATAGATGAAAATACAGTGTAATCACCCTTAACATTTGCTGTGCTCTGGTTACTCACATCCTTAGGCTGGTGTGTGTGTGTGTGCATATATATATACACACACACATATACATGTCCATGTGTATTAGTTTTGTGACTGCTCACGTGTTGAAAGATATAGTCTGCATAGTTGTGATTTCAGTTTGGGATTTGTTTTTTTGTGAAACTGAATGAACAGATATACACCACTGTTAACATCTCAGTGCTTGCCCCATTTGCAGTTCTGCTGAATGATTCAAAAACCAACCCTTGGCCACTGTGAGAATGTTAAATCTGCTGTTTGTCTCCAGGAGTATATAGTTCCTTGTTAGCACCATTTTGCCTGCAATTTTGTTTGGGTTTTTTTATTATTATTATTTTTAAATGATTTTTTTCTTCTCTATAAATTTGTCAAATTCATATTTGAAAAATAAAAAAGTAGCTATTTCAAGAACCATGTTTAAATACAAAGACGGAAGAGTGTCATCCTCTTTCTTGACCAACCTAAAAAGACATAATAATTTTTAAAAAACCTAATCATTCACCTGTGTACTGTTATTGTGATAGCAGAGAGAAAGGTGCGTGAATTGGTAACACTGGAAGACCGACAGTTATCTGGATAAAGACTTGCTTAAAATAACTTAGAGGAATGGATGTGGATATTAGATGTTAGAGCCACATCTCAGTTACTTAAAGGTGTTTTCAAAGAGTTTTAACTCATGTTTATCGTACAATCACAATGCTATCCACGTAGCACGAGTTTTCTTGAATTTCTGGGTTTTAGCATCACAAAACAGTGTGTTGGACTATCTTCAGTGTCATTTTCTTTTCTGACAGGTGAATCTTTTCTTCCTGCTAAATATCGTTCGTGTTCTCATAACCAAGCTGAAAGATACCCACAAGGCAGAATCCAACCTGTACATGAAAGCAGTGAGAGCTACCCTGATTCTTGTTCCACTGCTTGGCATTGAATTTGTGCTGTTTCCATGGCGACCAGAAGGCCGGATCGCTGAGGAAGTGTATGACTATGTGATGCACATTCTTATGCACTACCAGGTACATTAAACAGTTTTTGCTCACTTGAGCTAGATAGCAGTTGGCATGTGAAAAAAATAAAGGAGAAATGATTGTGTTATTTTGATTTTTAAAGACAGACCTTCATGCAATATTCTTATAACTGTCTTTAACTTTCTTATTATGCTGAATTTTAATTTCTTAAAGGAAAGAAACATCATGGTAGATAGCTGGGCCAATACTTTTTAGTAATGTATTATTAGAAGTAATTCACCAAGTTTAGATTTGTACTATATTTTCTTTGCTATCTATACCTGAATTTTATCAGGAACCTCTAATTATCTCAAACCTGGAAAAATCCATATGCATGTGAAATAAAGCAGAACCTTTTTATTTTTATTTTACAGGGTCTACTGGTGGCTACAATTTTCTGCTTCTTCAATGGAGAGGTAGAGTAATGGGTTTTAATATATTACTTTTCCTATTTTACATATTTTTGTTTTGTTTCAGCAATTAAAGAGATAGTAATTTTTAAAGAATTTTTAAAAAAAAATTCTGAATCTAGATTTGTCAGGTAAAAAAGAATTTTAAAAAAATATAATCTGGCTGCCAAGAGCAGAGCTTGGGAAAGACTCTGCCATCATTTGTGGCATCTTTAAGTTCTTTAGGACTGACTCTTTTGTGATGAGCAATATACATGTCTCTGATTATATAAGGAATTGAAGACACTTGTTGCTTTGATATAAATTCTCAATAAATATCATATAAAAGTAAAATGTAATTCAATATCCAGAAGGTATATTTGTCTATCTTAGAAGCTGTATAGCATGTTACCCTGGAGAGTCACTGTATTTGGTCTTTCTGCAGCAGG